TGCATACCGACTCTGGTGGTACCTGCTATCACTATAGCAGTGTATACCGACTGTGGAGGTACCTGCTATCATGACAGCAGTGCATACTGTACTGACTTTGGTGAAACCTGCTTTCACTACAGCAGTGCATACCGACTTTGGTGGTACCTGCTTTCACTACAGCAGTGCACACCGACTTTGGAGGTACCTGCTATCACTATAGCAGTGCATGCCGACTGTGGTGGTACCTGCTATGATTACAGCAGTGCATACAGACTGTGGTAGTACCTGCTTTAACTACAGCAGTGCATAATGACTGTGGTGGTACCTGCTTTCAATACATAAGTGCATACCGACTATGGTGGTACCTGCTATGACTACAGCAGTGCATACCGAATGTGGTGGTACCTGCTTTCACTACCGCAGTGCATTCCAACTGTGGTGGTACCTGCTATCACTACAGCAGTGCATACCGACTGTGGTGATACCTGCTATGACTACAGCAGTGCATACCGACTGTGGTGGTACCTGCTATGAATACAGCAGTGCATACCGACTGTGGTGGTACCTGCTATGACTACAGCAGCGCACACCGACTTTGGTGGTACCTGCTTTCACTACAGCAGTGCATACCGACTGTGGTGGTACCTGCTATCATTACAGCAGTGCATACAGACTGTGGTGGTACCTGCCTTAACGGCAGCAGTGCATACTGATTGTGGTGGTATCCTGCTATTACTACAGCAGTGCAAACCGATTGTGGTGGTACCTGCTATTATTACAGCAGTGCATACCGACTGTTGTGGTACCTGCTATCATTACAACAGTGCATACAGACTGTGGTGGTACCTGTTTTAACGGCAGCAGTGCATACTGATTGTGGTGATATCCTGCTATGACTACAGCAGTGCATACCGACTGTGGTGGTACCTGCTATCACTACAGCAGTGCATACCGACTGTGGTGGTATCTGATATCACTACAGCAGTGCATACCGACTGTGGTGATACCTGCTATGACTACAGCAGTGCATACCGACTGTGGTGGTGACCTGCTATCACTACAGCAGTGCATACCGACTGTGGTGGTACCTGCTTTCACTACAGCAGTGCATACCGACTGTGATGGTACCTGCTTTGATCACAGCAGTGCATACCGACTGTGGTGGTACCTGCTTTCACTACAGCAGTGCATACCGACTGTGATGGTACCTTCTATGACTACAGCAGTGCATACCGACTTTGGTGGTACCTGATTTCACTACAGCAGTGCATACCGACTGTGTTGGTACCTGCTTTCACTACAACAGTGCATACCGACTCTGGTGGTACCTGCTTTCACTACAGCAGTGCATACTGACTGTGGTGGTACCTGCTTTCACTACAGCAGTGCATACTGATTTTGGTGGTATCCTGCTATGACTACAGCAGTGCATACCGACTGTGGTGGTGACCTGCTATCACTACAGCAGTGCATACTGACTGTGGTGGTACCTGCTTTCACTACAGCAGTGCATACCGACTGTGGTGATACCTGCTTTCACTACAGCAGTGAATACTAACTGTGGCGGTACCTGCTTTCACTACAGCAGTGCATACTGACTGTGATGGTACCTGCTTTCACTACAGCAGTGCATACCGACTGTGGTGGTACCTGCTTTCACTACAACAGTGCATACCGACTGTGGTGGTATCTGCTATGACTACAGCAGCGCATACTGACTGTGGTGGTTCCTGCTATCACTACAGCAGTGCATACCGTCTTTGGTGGTGACCTGCTATCACTACAGCAGTGCATACCGACTGTGGTGGTACCTGCTTTCACTACAGCAGTGCATACAAACTGTGGAGGTACCTATCACAACAGCAGTGCATACCGACAGTGGTGGTACTTGCTATCACTACAGCAGTGCATACCACTGTGGTGGTACTTGCTATCACAACAGTGCATACCGACTGTGGTGGTGACCTGCTATCATTACAGCAGTGCATACCGACTGTGGTGGTACCTGCTTTCACTACAGCAGTGCATACCGACTGTGATGGTACCTGCTTTGATCACAGCAGTGCATACCAACTGTGGTGGTACCTGCTTTCACTACAGCAGTGCATACCGACTGTGATGGTACCTGCTATGACTACAGCAGTGCATACCGACTTTGGTGGCACCTGATTTCACTACAGCAGTGCATACCGACTGTGTTGGTACCTGCTTTCACTACAACAGTGCATATCGACTCTGGTGGTACCTGATTTCACTACAGCAGTGCATACTGACTGTGGTGGTACCTGCTTTCACTACAAAAGTGCATACCGACTCTGGTGGTACCTGCTTTCACTATAGCAGTGCATACTGACTGTGGTGGTACCTTCTTTAACGTCAGCAGTGCATACTGATTGTGGTGGTATCCTGCTATGACTACAGCAGTGCATACCGACTCTGGTGGTACCTGCTATCACTATAGCAGTGTATACCGACTGTGGAGGTACCTGCTATCATGACAGCAGTGCATACTGTACTGACTTTGGTGAAACCTGCTTTCACTACAGCAGTGCATACCGACTTTGGTGGTACCTGCTTTCACTACAGCAGTGCACACCGACTTTGGAGGTACCTGCTATCACTATAGCAGTGCATGCCGACTGTGGTGGTACCTGCTATGATTACAGCAGTGCATACAGACTGTGGTAGTACCTGCTTTAACTACAGCAGTGCATAATGACTGTGGTGGTACCTGCTTTCAATACATAAGTGCATACCGACTATGGTGGTACCTGCTATGACTACAGCAGTGCATACCGAATGTGGTGGTACCTGCTTTCACTACCGCAGTGCATTCCAACTGTGGTGGTACCTGCTTTCACTACAGCAGTGCATACAGACTGTGGTGGTACCTGCCTTAACGGCAGCAGTGCATACTGATTGTGGTGGTATCCTGCTATTACTACAGCAGTGCAAACCGATTGTGGTGGTACCTGCTATTATTACAGCAGTGCATACCGACTGTTGTGGTACCTGCTATCATTACAACAGTGCATACAGACTGTGGTGGTACCTGTTTTAACGGCAGCAGTGCATACTGATTGTGGTGATATCCTGCTATGACTACAGCAGTGCATACCGACTGTGGTGGTACCTGCTATCACTACAGCAGTGCATACCGACTGTGGTGGTATCTGCTATCACTACAGCAGTGCATACCGACTGTGGTGATACCTGCTATGACTACAGCAGTGCATACCGACTGTGGTGGTACCTGCTATGACTACAGCAGTGCATACCGACTGTGGTGGTACCTGCTATGAATACAGCAGTGCATACCGACTGTGGTGGTACCTGCTATGACTACAGCAGCGCACACCGAATTTGGTGGTACCTGCTTTCACTACAGCAGTGCATACCGACTGTGGTGGTACCTGCTATCATTACAGCAGTGCATACAGACTGTGGTGGTACCTGCCTTAACGGCAGCAGTGCATACTGATTGTGGTGGTATCCTGCTATTACTACAGCAGTGCAAACCGATTGTGGTGGTACCTGCTATTATTACAGCAGTGCATACCGACTGTTGTGGTACCTGCTATCATTACAACAGTGCATACAGACTGTGGTGGTACCTGTTTTAACGGCAGCAGTGCATACTGATTGTGGTGATATCCTGCTATGACTACAGCAGTGCATACCGACTGTGGTGGTATCTGCTATCACTACAGCAGTGCATACCGACTGTGGTGGCACCTGCTATCACTATAGCAATGTATACCGACTGTGGAGGTACCTGCTATGATTACAGCAGAGCATACCACCTTTGGTGGTGCCTGCTTTCACTACAGCATTGCATACTGACTGTGGTGGTACCTGCTATCACTACAGTAGTACATGCTGACTCTATAGCAGTATATATCGACTCTATAGCACAAACTACTAACCTGACAGTGCCGTCGTGAGACGTAGTCCCGTGCAGAGCCCCCGTCCTCGCCTAGATTGCCCAGCCGGCCAAGGTGGCACCTTGGCAGGCTGGGGGTTGGGCTACTACCCCCACCACCCCCCACCAACCCCCCGCCTGCTCTACAATAATAGTATCTTAACGCTATATTAGTATCTACCGACCCTATAGTAGTAAGTGCACACATTGGAGTGAGGGGGGAGATGACACTGTGAAGAATTTACTTCAACGTTTTGCGTATTTTTATTGCAATTTTTACGCTAATGAGAATCCCCCCCCCCCCCACCGATGGCGGGTGTGCGTTGCACGCTGAGCGGCGAAAGGAAAAAAAGCACTAAATTGTTAATTAAACTACTTTAAATTTATTATTTGGTTCTTTCTGTTAAGTCACGTCTAAAGATAAAATAATAAATAAATTAAATTATAGCATACGACGTTTCGATTGCAACACAAGCAATCATCATCAGGTATAATGAAATAGCGACATAAAATCTAACCAGAAAACTATAGACAGACATATTAGCAGACAGATATCACCAAGGTATATAGAGAGAGCAACACAGGTAACAGAGAGGGATGATCATCTCTGTGGGGTGGCCTTAAATAGACAGAGGGGGGAGGAGGCAGAGAGAGGGAGGGGGTTAGAGAAAACATTTGCATATCAATGAGTGGACAACAAACATGGTGCTGCAAGTGCGATGACACGGCAAGCAAGCCTGAAAATCAGGAGAAGGACAAACTAAAATTCAATAATCTAGTAAAATATCGAAATGTAATGTAATACAACACAGAGGGTCGGTCAACACACAATTAACGCATAGCCTGGTTGATTACATATTTCAAAGATTGCTAAGTTAGAATTTAAGTGTGAACATTCCAAAGAGAGGACACAGGCAGAGAGAACAAGTAGCCAGAGAGAGAGAAAAAAGGATAAGCTTAAAACTTCCCCGTAGAAGTGGTTCAATCGTAATTTTTTATTTTTTTTATTTTAGAACTTTCGTGACAAAAGTTCTAAAATTAAAATTAAGATTACTTTAAATTTGACGGATGGAAAAATGGAATAGCGCTGGCGTGGTACCTGACTACTTTTTCACACATAAACCCCACGGTTTGCGAGCCAAATCCTTCGCAATTTGCGTCCACAGAGACAAATGGACAGACAGACGGACGCACACACAGACAAAAAATGACATTCATAGGTAAGATACAAATTATAATGTGTATTCCATCCTCGGATCTCAATGGGTATTCTGGAACATACCTTCGCAAGGTATCCTTCCCAAAGCTTTAGCTCCTCACCCAGAGCCTGCTTGTTTCGTGTTACAGCAGACTCGTGCCGCTCTGCCTCTGGTACTATCCATGTGTACATGATCACAATCACTGCATTCACATACAAATTGTCAATCACATGTTAGCACGGATGTACAATCAAATCAACATTCAAAACTACCGATGTCATTAAAATGTACTCGTAAAAAAAGATCGACACATTAGCAGATACAATTTTTATGCTATTTTGTTCATAAAAACAAGCCATTGGAAATAAAAAAACATCTTCATAAGTAAAATCTATTATTTTATGGCTGACCATGTCCAAAAAAAGAGATCTGATCAGATCAATGCAGAAGAGAATTTGGACATTTTAATCATACTCAACTTAACCGTGTCAATCAGACCCAAATGATTAATCACAAATAATAACACGTGTGGTCTCACCTTACAGCATGTTCAATATAACTGAGGGAATACTTGTTGTCTTTGACAAAGGGTAGCTAAAACAAAAAATAATGTATGCCGTGTTGCGCATAAGACCAACACACAGGTTTCAAGACATTTGGAGAATGCTGGTTTTACGATGCCCAATGAGTCATGTGTCGATTTTCAGGCTGTACCCCTCATAGGCATTGGTGAGATCTCATGTCGGCGGTGAGAAGGCTTTGCACTTTTGGCCAGGTGTCCAGTGGTCAGCAGTAGTCTGCTGTCATCACTCTTCAGGTGTCCCCCCCCCCGCCCCCACTGGCTCACTCAAACTGCCTTCCGTTTCACATAATCTATTTTTATCTCTGTTACTCAACTTACTCCCCTCTCTATATAAATGTAGTGGAGTAACGCAGGGGGGGGGGGTGCAAACAGTGTGCACGCATGTGTGAGCTGCGGACAGCGAGGTCACGTCGGGGTGAACAAGTGCAGAGAGGGAGACAGAAAAAGAGCAACCAGAGAGAGGTGGCCAATTGAAGTGCATAGCGGTAATTGGCTGGCTGCAAATGAAAACACGGGTTAGGCGCCTCGCAGGTGGGAGATAGAGGCGATAAGCGGGGCGGAGACGCCGCGTGAGCTACGGCTCAACGAGGGCCAACTGAGGTATCTTAATTAGTGAGGGGATATAAGCGGATGTGCGGGGAAATGCAGTTGAGTTGGTTGGAGTGAAGACAAGAGAGAATTCAAGAGAAGTCCGGGACCCCGCTCTCCACACCTCGTCCTCTCCAGCGGTGTTGGCTAATCCCCCACTGGAGGCATGGGCGAGGTTGGAGGAGTGACGGTGGACAGGCTAGCAGTAGAGAGGCTAGCGGAATCCTAAGTGTGAGTGTGAGAAGGCTAGCAGTAGAGAAGCTAGCAGAGTGTATAGTAAGAGGCTAGTGGAATCCTAAGTGTTGGTGGTATAAGGCTAGCAGTAGATAAGCTAGCGGAGTATATAGTAATAGGCTAGCAGTGGAGAAGCTAGCAGAGTGCAACATAGCAGGCTAGCGGAACGAGAGAGAGCGAGTAGAGCGTAGCAGACGAGCAGTACAAGAGGAAGAGTTGCGACGGAGATATGTGGTGTTGAACGCGAGGAGTTCTGTATGAATAAAGTGACAAGAGAAAAATAAGTTGTCCGTGTGAAATAACACCACTACATAAATATGAACGCTTTTAGCGATTCGCTGATTGCACTTTAAATCTCCTTTCTAAAGCCTCAAATGTATTTTGTTATAGAGAAGGGACGTAATACCAGTTTAACATGTAGGCTTTCACGACATCACATTTATCCCTCTATTTATCCACAACGCTGCCTGTCGCCTGATGAGGCTGGTTGTAATTTTCGGAGAACTGGTAAATGTTGCGGGTTCACTCTCCATCACACAACTGGTGAGTGCTGAACTAGTTACTAATTGGCACGTTTTATTTACGTGACAAACCTTACCAATTGGCTGCGTCGGGTGTGGTGGCAGGGTTTAACGACAAATTTATATTCACGCGATCTAACCCAACAACAACAAAAAAAACCTCTATTCTGGATGTAATACCGCTCTTCTGGTGGAGGGTTGGGACCTCGAACATGCGCTGCAGCACCACGGCCTGCTCTGCTGCCGCCTCTGGCATCAGCTTCGTCCCCTGTGCCTTGAATTGGTTCTGCACGCGCACATCGACCCGGCGTTCACTCAATAAAAAAAAAAACGCATCACGCTTCTTCATACATAACCGGCATTTATGATTACACCACTTCACGTGACAATTCAGTCATGTGGTGTAGTTGAAACATGGGAGCCATGAGGAATAAATATTGCCACATTGGTCAGCGAACAGAATATGCATACTTGCTTGCCTCACGCAGGTGAATACATTATTCTGGAATTATTTCACAGTGTGGATAAGTCTACCTATTTTACAACAAGGTTTACATGGAAACACATTTTCCCATTAAAAAGACAATGCTGTTTTTATGGGTAGCTTGGTGTCTGTCGTATATGTAGGGAACGCGCGGCTGCGATATGAAACGTGACATAAAAAATACTTCTATATTAGTTAATGGCCACATTTTTTATGTGACACTGTGTCAAAATCAGTCCACAGTGTTGCTTGTATTAAACCAATATTGCTGAATTATGCACTCCCAGAAGGCCTTGTGGTTGACATTAAGTGGGGGAATGGATATATTACCGAGATACATAAATTGTCTGCTTATGTATTGTGTTACTTATGTAATGGGTTCTGGAGACACTTTTCATATGTAACTTCTTTATTACTGCACACCACTCCAACATTACTGACCCTGCCTAGGGACACAGCCTACTTCTAGCGTGCCTGACACTGGCTACGCTCTCGGGTCCTCCGGCTACAATTACCCTAGGGGAGGCTACCTGACCCGACCCAGCCAAGGTGCAGGTTTCGACTCTGGCTTCCTCGGAACTAGCCCTTACAAGGACGAAGGGCCGGGAGTCTCAGAGTCCCACCACTGGCCCGCACAGCGCACCGGGCTTTACAAGGACAACGGGGTGAGGGGGCCCAGGGTCCTAAGCTGGCTGGTCTTGGGTCTTCAGCTGTGACTGGTCCCGGTCGGCTGGGGAGCGGCCCTTTTATCCCCCTTGCCCATCGATGGGTGGGGTTGCGTGGGATCTACAATCCCACGCAGCCCCCCGTTGGTGACGCCAAGGGGCTTAGCTGCCTAGGATCCTGAGCCCCCAGCAGCCCCCCCCCCTCTTGGGCTGGCACAGTGGCCCCTTCCCTGGGGGTCCGAGGTACCCCTGCAGATGGGCCCTGTCCACCACTGCCGGTAAGTGTGGCCCATCTACGAGACTATACTTATATTATCCACAACTGAGCAAATTATTATTTAGTGCAAAAGCAGGCTGCTTGATTCACAATTAGAAGATCGAGAGATTGGTTTTCTCATCAGGTGTTGACAGGAAAGTACACCACGTCTTCCATGATACCACTGCACAATTTCCGTAATAACTGTAGATCCTTGCAGATGAATAAACAAATCAAGCTAATAGTATTTTTTTGTAATATCCATTTGGTGAATGGGATACCGGTTATATACATAAATATAGCTATTTGATCACTTGGTTACATTTTCAGAATGTGTAATGAGCATTGTTAGCACATTGCAATGGCAGTATTTGAATGCACTAATGGTTAAACATAACGTAGCATGGTGACTGCATTAAAGTTTCACCTCCAGGTAGAGCACTGCCCCCAGAGACTCGTTGATCACGTGTTCCCCGTGGCGGAAGGCGGGCAACTGAGGGGACAGAAAAGAAAATGGCGACATTATTTTGTTTATATTTCTACACACCAACCAAGAAGGTGCCTCCATCATTACACATGCGGACTTGACAAAGAGGAGTGTAGATAGATATTTTAATACTGATGTTTCATGTATTTCATAGTTATGTTCTTCAATTGATGATTTACCAAATTGGACAACAATCAATTTCCACGGTTCAAGTTCCACAAATAAACTTTATGGCGGGACCCCGGGGTCCCATAAGCCCTCGGCGTCCCATAAGCCCTCGGCTCTCGCATAAACATTATATTATGATGTAAACAAAAACTTTGCTCTTTTTCACCAATGGGTTTGAAGGATGGTGACAAGTGTTGTCTTGTTAAACTATGCCTTTAAAACTGAAAACTAATTACCTGCAGTACCTCTATTTAAATACACTATCTAAAAAATAATTTACACCCCTCTGTCAATCATCGTGTTTCTCAGTGTGGATTTGTGAACGCACTTTGTAAACAGTACATAAAATATTATGCGTCTTCAATGGGCTTTTATATTGTAACAAGCGTTTATACTAATATTTTTCTACAGAGTAGTGGGTCGCCGCTTCTCTTATCCACATTAATACGAGCAGTATGTGGGGACTATGGCTTAACTGCAAAAAAAACTATCTGCACAGATGCATATGGACAAGAGAAGTATTATCAAAATGGAGGAATTAACGGTGCAACGCATCTCATCTGTTAAATATCTGCAGATAATTACGGTCTTGGTGTGAGTTCATAGATGTGTGTGAGTTGTGTGTGAGTCTGTGTGTGCCCGTCGTGGACATTGCTGTGGGGGGAGGGGCCAATGCCCATTGGCCTCTCTCCTCATGGCGTCTGTGACCACCACAATGGCTAAACGGGGGCTCTGGACGGGTGCGAGGGGCTGGTAACCCCTCCACCTTCAATTAATTACCACGAGACTACGATATAAACATAAAAATGTAACAAATAAGCTTGTGCCGGAGGCCCCGGGGGGACAGGCTTCTATGACGTTTCCTGGCCAAACCCCAATTGGTGGAGCCAGGAGATTGAATCCTTACACTCGGGGCTCCTCCAGAAACAACAAAAAACCACTACGTGTGGTCACATGGAATGTTCGAATGCTCACTGTGGAGGAGAGGCCGCCACTCCTTTGTTGGGAGCTGGACCGGTACCGCCTGGACCTCTGTGGCATTCAGGAGGTCCGGTGGACCGGTTCTGGCGCCTGCCACCATGAGGGGTGGACAGTCCTCCACTCGGGGCAGGAGACTGCCAAACAACAGGGAGTGGCTCTTCTGAACAAAAGAATGAAGGGGGCATGGGAGCGTGGCGGTGAGGTGTGGAAAGCTGTAAGCCCCAGGCTACTTTTGGCTCACCTTCCCATCAACCAGAGGCGAGGAATAGTGGTCGTGATTACTTATGCCCCCACTGAAGATGAACATCCATGGAGGGATGCAGCAAAGGCCGATGAGTCAGATGCCTTCTATGACCTCCTGTCACAGGTGATAGCTAAAGTGGCCCCTCAGGAGAGAGTCATCTTGTTGGGTGACTTCAATGCCCACGTTGGTCATGATGCTGGCACCTGGTCTGGAGTGATTAGAAGGCCTGGGCCAGATCAACTCAATAACAACGGCAGGAGGCTGGTAGATTTTTGTGCAGCCCTTGGGCTTGTAATTACCAACAAGCTGTTCCGGCATCAGCGGATCCACACAACATCATGGATGCATGCTGGGTCCAAGCAAGAACATCTGCTGGACTACATAGTGATGGATCAGTGGATGCGGGCCCATGTCCTTGACACCAGGACCTACCGTGGAGCTGATCTGCCCACTGACCATCGACTTGTCATCTGGAAGATACGCCTGCCAATCCTCCACTCCAGTGGTGGGTGTACACCCAGGACCCCATTAAAACCCTTAGTGGCATGGTCTCAGCTAGCTGATGAAAGTTGCAAGCGAGAATTTAACCATCGCTTGCGGCTGGGGTTGACATCGTCCCCCACTTCTGATGTCGAGGGGAAATGGGCGAGGTTTAGAACTGTGGCTCATACAGCTGCAATGGCTGCTTTGGGTACACGGCCGAGACCTCCCCAAAGACCCTGGCTCACAGAGGAGGTGTTCAAGCTACCTGAGAAAAAGCGACAGGCCCACGCTCATCAGCTACAGCATCCCACGTTGGAGAATGAGGCTTACCGCAGCCTTCACTCGGATGATCGGAGAGCCATGAGGCACTGCAAGGATGGGTGGTGGTTGCGGGTTGCTGAGGAGATGGAGTCTGCCTCAATGGCCCGCGATCATAAATCCATCTTTAATTCCATCAAATAAGTAACTTGCAGCGCCACATCTATTACCATCATTAGGGGAAAGAACGATGATCCAATCTCTGACCCCCAGGAATAGGTTTTCAGATATGCTGAGCATTTCTATGAGGTCCTGGGGGAGGGGACATCCCTCAGCCTGGATAACTTCGTGGGACAAAGTGGGGATGACCCTGCTGAGGCTGCAGTGTCTCAAATATTGGAAGAGGAAGTCACCCCCTGTTAGTGGCTGGCTGAGGTGCCATCTGTTGAGGAAGTACTAAAGTCGATCCAGAATCTGAGACCAGGAAAGGCACTGGACAGAGATGATCTCCCAGGCAAAAAGCCGAGGGAGGGTGGTGTTTGTGCACAGACTGCCCTACATGACATGACAACAAGAGTCTGGACCACTGGATGGGTTCTGCAGGATTGGAAAGATGCCCTGGTGGTCCCCCTCTTTAAGAAGGGGAACCGCACAGACCGTATCAACGACAGGGGCATCTCACTCCTCAGTGTGCCGGGAAAGGTCCTGGAAAGGGTTATTCAAAATTGCCTTGCTAGGCACGCTGAGGAGATCCTTGCGGAGCCCCAATGCAGTTTCAGGAAAGGGCGTCCTGCACAGATGCCAAATTTTCTGTCCGTCTGCTAGAGCAGAGGTGTAGGGAATCCCAAGAAGACCTGCATCTCTGCTTTATAGACCTGGTCAAGGCCCACTTTACCAACAGTAGGCCTGGACTCTGGGTTGTTCTTCTTACTTTCGGAGTCCCTGATCCTCTGCTCATGATCATGGATCATTAAGGACCTTTATGATAGTGAGCGGGCCCAGGTAAAACTACGCGGCCGGGAGTCGGAGCCATTCCCTGTACACCTTGGAGTGCAACAGGGATGTCCTCTGGCTCCCACATTATTTAACATCTATTTCGACCACGTAGTTCGTGAAGCCCTCAATAGCTGTACCCGGAGGAATTTCCATCTGGTACAGATACAAAGGGAGGCTGATCATTGCCCGGGTGCGGTCGAGGGATGGCTCCCTATTGCTCAGCCATGTTATGTATGCCGATGATCTGGTAATTGCTGCTCACTCAGAGGAGGAGTTGGAGGTGCTGCTGCTGAACCTGGAGCTTGTTACTAAGAGGTGGGGGACTTACCATCAGCAACACCAAAACAAAGCACCTGCCTGGGTATTTTGTACCTTCAGACACTCCACCCCCACAATTCCCATTTGGTGATAGGGCAGTTGTGTAGGGAGTGGAGAGTTCCCCATACCTGAGCAGTGTGCTCATGACCGGCTCTGGTTTAACAGCAGAGGTTTCACTCCGAATCAGCTGAGCGGCATTATATTTTAATAGGTTGTGTAACGCTGTGTGGAAGCTACCTGTTCTGTCACTCCGCACAAAGCTTCAGGTCTTCTCGGCCACAGTCATTCCCTCCCTTCTCTACGCTTGCAAAATGTGGACCCCCCTAATGGAACATCATCGCCGGTTGGAAACATTTTTTCTGGCCTGCCTACGATCCAATCTGGGTTCAACCAGGCTGGATTGTGTGAGCCTTGAAATATCTGGACAAAGTCCCATCGGTGAGCTCCTGTCGTCCTCGCTGCGCTGTGCTTGGACGACATAGCAAAATTATCCGCGGCAGGTGTGCGCGGTGGGACGGCGTCGCCAAAAATAAATTAATTTATTACGATTTTGACTTGCGTTTATTCGGAACCCGGGGTCCCGCCATAAGGTTCAAATGTCCTCTAGACTGACGTCATAGCATAGTGTTTGTTTTGTTCTCGATACCGTAATGGAATCCATCACCACATTATGCCGAACATATGATTACTCCACGTGTGTAGGGTTATCTCTCCGGTATTTTTTTGTTGTATAACCCCTGACAAATACCGACGTAACACTCGAGTCTGCTTCTCCCTCCACGCTCCCATTTTACTCTCATATATATAGCCATCTTGAGCTCAAGTTCTCACCTGGCATGTAAATTTTTAAAAATCTCATTCTTACTCTTGAGACACAAACATTGGGTGCAAGGTGGCTGTATGGAGCCAACTCTAAAGTAAGAGGTTGAGTGATTGAGTGGTTGAGTTAGTGAATGGCTGAGTGGCTGAGTGATTGGCTGAGTGGCTGAGTGAATGAGTAAGTGGCCGAGTAAGCGGGTGAGTGAATGAGTGGTTGATAGAGTGAGGAACCTCTCATTCTATCAGTGAGAGTTTGAGTTAGTGAGTGACTGAGTTAGTGAGTGGTTAAGTAGTTGAGTGAGTGAGTGGCTAATTTGAGTAGCTGAGTGAGTGAGTGGTTGAGTTAGTGAGAGGTTGAGTTAGTGTTGGCTGAGTGAGTGGCTGAATGAGTGAGAGGTTGAGTGTCAGACGACGAGTTCGCTGTTACCTCAACTAAACTCCTGCACGGGACCCCCCATGCCAACTTTGGCCCAAACTACAAAACTGATTCCCGTGTTATTGTACACCTGGTGCCTCTAAAAACCTATAAAACGTATAGGTCAACACCACTCCCCGTACCACTCTCTCCCATTCCCCCCCCCACTTTCCTGCCTCCGCCCTCTCCACCCAAAACCAATTTTCAATGTTATCGCAATATCATGATACAGCTACCAAAGACGTGTTTGTGTGTGTGTCCTTTGCTAAATTCAAAGTATTTAAACCAACTGGGACAACCGGTTGGGCAAAGGTAGCCGCATCAAAGCAACGAGCCTCAGCCTTCACCCAAACTCTTCCACCAATGCCTCTTGCACAAATATGCGTTATAAAACCTTCCACACATACCTAAATGTTAATTGATTAAATCTTATTTACAATACTCAAGAGTTGCAAAATTAATACTATTGTAGTGGGTTCAATTTAGGCGCACACTCAACTTTGAGGCAACATTATTTATCAAGGCCGTAATTATAATAAATATTGGGGGGGGGGGCCATCCCCACCCCCCCCCCCCTCATATTCAAATATGCTCAAAATGTCCCCCCCAATATATTGCTCTAAAATATATTTCTGTTTATATGATTGTGGTTATGGTTGTACTTTATTAATCCCTAATCTCTGCCATTACATAGAATGAAACAAGAAAAGGTAAAAAAGAAAAAAACAGAGCAATGTAATACAATACACTATTAGACTTTATTGTAAAAAAATAAGAAAAAGTATATCCTATGTGTTAGTGATTTTTTTTAATATTTTAGGCAGGAAATTCATTTTCAAATTAAGATTGTATTTCTGGAAGATTTGGTCCACCCCAATGTTGACTCCATGTCTACGGCCTTGCTATTTATTAACATAACAACCGACGTGAACGCTATACTGTACATAAGGTGGTGACCACCGTTCCTAATCTCACTAACACTCGGGGAGGGAATACTACATAGCGTGACAAAGGCAGGTGACGGGCTGCCTGGTCACGAACGACGATCAGAGCCTGGAGGACCGTTTATGGCGTCTTCTTCCCGGGGTTGAACAGCCCAGCTCTTCTTGGCTCTTTCGGTAAAGTCACGTAGCATGGAAATAATAAAATAATAATAAAACATGGTGAAAATTATTTTATTATGTTTTATTTTCATTATTTTATTATTTCCATTCTACGTGACTTTACCGAAAGAACCAAGAAGATGAATCCCTGCAGTCACGAAAGCTTTAAATCGAAAAAGCGCAGCTCTGTTCATACCCCACTTGTAACTTTCGTGGCGTGGCCAGCTCCGCCCCAGGCCACGCCCCCTTCTCGATCCTTCGGGAAAGTTCGGGCCCCCAACCACGTGAACCCCAAGCTCCCCCCTGGGGCCCCGAGCCCCCCTTTGTCCGGTCACGTGTCCTGTTGGGTTCACGCATAGTGTCACGGCATGACATGACCTCCGTGACACTCGCCTACAGCACCCATACCGAGCCAACACAGTAGTGACGACATATGTCCCTACACTATTTAAAAGTACGAAATTGGTCAAGTGTAAAGTTTTGGAGTTTTTTTTCTTAGAAGTGTCATTGCTAAGATGTATATCGTCTCTTATAAACGCCCTTTATGCAACGGTACAAAATAGACCTCCTGCATACCAGGCGGGGAAGATAACATCTCGCCGCCGTGGCGCCCAAAGGTGCGTCTTCACTCCCTCTGCCTCCTGTAATTAGAATGGCGCTGGTGGCCTTCAAAACAATGACTCTGCACAAATATCCAGAAGTGCCTCCGGGGAACCGTGTTTGGGAGAACAGAGATTGCATCATGGAAACACAAAACAGGATCGCATATCATTTGCTTTAAGTGTGCAAAGCAATGCAATTTGGTTAGCGATATAGAACACTGCTGTACTGTGTTGTGTATTGCAATTCATGTTGCACTTAGAATTTGTATCGGTTTTAACTGATACGTTGTATGTATGATACGTTGTATGTATGTTGACCTTTGTTCGCACCGTATGTAGCCAACCGTGATAATCGGACGTTAGTCCTGTACTACGATAATAATTCTTCTTTTTTGCAATGCTAGTATTTCAGACTTGTGGTGTCATATTGCTGCAAACATATTTTTAAATAACATGAAACCTGCTCTTCTGTTCATTCAAATTTTCCCAAGCATAATCCTTCTACTTAGAATATGAAACTTATAATATTAAACAGTGCTGCTGCTGTTGGGAGTGGTGCACGATACAAAAAATTAACCTCGACACATTCATCAGTGACACTTCCTTTCAAGGACATTTTAAGCAACTACAGTACTTTTCTTCGTGGCACGTTATATTTAGTATATGGTCATCGCATGAGCAATGCTCTACTATTTCCCGTGCAAAGTGTTTGTGTTGTTAGTAAATGAGCTTCATAGTTTTTCGCAGACCTTACATAGAATTCAATGCTTGCACTGTCCGCATGACAATTTACTTGGATATGACGGGTGGTGGAGGGTTTTTGGAACCAAATTTGGCCAGACTCATTCGCGGTAAAAAACCCTAAATCTATTGTCAATCGGTCATGTCACCGTGGCTGTTTTTACTGCACCGTGCGGCTCACCTGTCCTCTGGGGTTGATCTCGATCACAGCTGCACTCTTGTGCTCCTGCTTCTCCATGGAGAGCAGCTTCTGCTGGTAGCCCTGCAGCGCCTTCTCCTCCAGGCACAGCAAGATGCGCCAGCACGGCGGGCTGCCCGAGCCCCAGTACACGATCATGTCGCTCGCCATTCTTGTGAGTCCAGGGAAAGTGACTGCCACACAGGGGAGGGGCGCAGGAGTGTTTGAGCTCCAGCACTTGCAGCCTTACACATATGTACACAGCCAAGCCAGCCTTAAGCCACACCTGTGGCATCCGCTTAGCCAATAAAATAAAAGGCAGATAGGTATCTGCAAACTCATGCTTTCTCAGCTTAAAATCGGTGCTATGTGTGACTTCACTATACCTGTTTTAGGCGGTGAATGTGTCTAAAACGAGCCAAAGGAATGCGAGGAATGGCAACAGCTGTTATGGCAATACTTTTCTAGGATTGCGAAAAAATACTTTAATAATTTTAATTCAATTCTCGATTTGGTTTATACAGCTAATGTTGCTTTTTACCTGCAAGGAGGGTTTATTTACAATTCCATGACAAATCTAAATTCACCTCACTAAACATGTTTCTAGCATTGACCTTCGTGACAAAGTCCGGATTCCAGGGCCTCCATGTCATATCTTTGTAGAACTATCCTGGTCTCTTGAGGTCTCACCCGATTCAACAAAAAGCACCTGATAGTTGAACCCTTCTACTTCAGGTCTACGTGTCCCATCACTCCAGTATAGCATCTTGAGAGACAGTAGCATTTGGATGCTTTGCAGAAAATCCTGACCGCTTCACAAATTCTAAACGCTCAAACTTGAATTAGGTACAAATATGTAAAAAAATACTGCGCAAACAGATCCACACACTTGGCATCCATATATGCAGAAAAACATTATGTTTACCATATTTTTTGGGTCTTTCAGGAAAGCCACATAGATATAAAAAATTATAAAATAAAAATCACGACATTTCGATCACAACACCCCCCACCGCACCCCCCTCTCTTTTCCACCTGAAGACGATTGCTTGTGTTGCGAGCGAAACGTCGTGATTTTGATTTTATTGTTTTTTCTATCTACGTGGCTTTACCGAAAGACCCAAATAATGTGAATTCCTGCAGTCACAAAAGCTTTATGTCATTAAGTTTACCATGTATATAAAATAGTATGCTACTTTTTAAGGCCACACTTCACTGTGAGGAAAAAAAATTCATGAAAATGTTGTACACACCAACCAGTAGATCGCATGTGTGTAAAAAGATAATCGAGAAAAATCGAAATGGTTTATACTTAAGTGCAGGGGTAAGTACAATGGTGTTGAGGTTTAAGGGGGATTTTTTCTTTATCTAGTATTATGAATAGTCTTTATGCACGAATTGCCATGGAGTGTAACAAGGAATGCTGAAATGGAACAGGTTCAACAAGGGCTTGCTGATTTAAAGATTTGCTAGGGTTCAAAGTTATGCAACCACAGAAAAAAGTTGTAGTCAAAGAACAGTGATAGGCACTAGATAACAGCCAGATTCTTATTGCAAAGCCACGGCAGCGATCAGGATATGTTCTGAAGGTCGAACCCCTTCCCCCATTTTAGTACAAAAATACAACTTATGGAACTTGATGTATGTATGTTTAACGTATTCTGCGCCGTACGTAGCCAACCGTACGAATCAGAGGTGCGAGGGAAGGACAACAAACTAAACACAAAAATCTATTTAAATGATAACATGATGGTTGTGGAACTTTTACGTTTAAAAGAAAAGTATAATGATCTAAATGATGACAGCACCGTAAATAGTTGACTAAATATGGAAAGTAACATTGAAATGTATTAATTCAGGGGCCAGAAATCCAGTATGTTCGCATGAAAAACGTGTTTTCATTTGGAGTAAAAGTATTGTTTTTTTTTTATAAATGATCACCGGTAATTATAATGTTTGGAGTAGATCTGAAGCACAGCAGTTCGCAACAATGCACTTGAAAACCAACGACCCAGGTTTGATTCCTGGCCACAGCTAACGTCAGAGGAAATTATCTGAAGGGGTGCTGGTCTGCTGCTTCACCGACCCGTCACCCCACACAGCACGGAGAGGTTTTCATCCAGCAGTGGATTGACAAAGGAGCGGACATTGTTATAACTATTACTTAATTATAACATACTGTATGTATATGTGCTTCAAGACGCAAATAACACGTTCCTTCGGAGTGGGCAGGTAGGAACTTGGTTGGACAGCGAGGCGTTCGGGGGGGGGGCAGTTGGATGAGTGGGCATGTTGACCCTTCCCCCCCACCCTCCCCGACATCGTCAACCAATCGCGGCGTAGCTTGGTGTTCGGTGGGGAGGTGCATGTGTGGGCAGAATTCCGGATATGCACGACAGAGAGACACATAATCCCTGGTGGGCAGTGTGGAATCTGTTGTTCCTACCTGTATAACACTCTAGGTAACTAAGACTCGCACACACATACACTCACTCTCACACTCTGAGACTCACACACACACACTCACTCTCACACTCTCAGACACACACACTCACTCTCAGACTCACACACACACTCACCCTCACACTCTCAGACTCACACACACTCTCAGACTCACACACACATACACTCACTCTCACACTCTCAGACTCACAACAACAACAACCGCCATTCGCCACTAAGTGGCGGTGACGTCACCACGACGCTTGTGCCAGGCCATGTGCACCTTGAGGCCACGTGAAGTGTCGAACGCCTGCTGGCAGGAGGTCACGGGGCAGACCCAGGTGCCACGGGTCGACTGACCAAGATGACCGAGATGACTGGCTGATGCACCACCTGTGCCCCCTACTGTACCAACTTGCTGTGCTTTAGCCACCCGGCGCTCCGCTCGTTGTTGTGAGCGTCGCTCCTCCGCCCTCCGTTGTTGTTGGAGGGCGACTGCCTCCAACTGCCCAGTAGCGTCCTTTACGAGCCTCCTCCACAAAGGCCGATCTTGACACCGCTGTTACCAGTCATCGGCAAGTCCACTCAGCTCCACGTCCTCCTGTACCACATCACTCCATCTCATCTCTAGCCGTGCCGCGCTCATTTAGCCCCCTCGATCCGGCCGAACAAAAGCTGTTTAGGCATGCGGTGGCTGGGCATGCGGGCTACATGACCCAGCCAACGCAGCATTGCCTGCCGGAGGAGCTCACCGATGGGACTTTGCCCAGATCTTTTAAGGATTTGTGAGCTCCTCACACAATCCAGCCTGGTTAAACCCAGGATGGATCGTAGGCAGGCCAGCCTAAATGTTTCCAACCGGCGAAGATGCTCCATTAGGGGGGTCCACGTTTCGCAAGCGTAGAGAGGGGAGGGAATGACTGTGGCCGAGAAGACCTAAAAACTACGTTCGGAGCGACAGACCAGGTAACTTCCACACAGCGTTACGCAACCGATGAAAAGATATTGCAGCTCGACTGATTCGGAGTGAGACTCACACACACATACATACACTCACTCTCACACTCTCAGACTCACACACACATACGCTCACCCTCACACTCTTAGACTCACACAGACACTCACTCTCACACTATCAGACTCACACACACACACTCACTCTCTCAGACTCACACACACACTCACTCTCACACTGTCAGACTCACACACATACACTCACTCTCAGACTCACACACACACTCTCAGACTCACACACATACTGACTATCACACTCTCAGACTCACACACACACTCAATGTCACACTCTCAGACTCACACACACATACACTCCCTCTCACACTCTCAGACTCACGCACACACACTCACTGTCAGACTCACGCACGCACACTCACGCTCACACTTTTAGACTCACACACTCACTCTCACACTCTCAGACTCACACACACTCTCAGACTCACACACACACACATTCACTCTCACACTCTCAGACTCACACACACACACTCACTCTCACTCTCAGACTCCCACACACTCACTCTCATACTCTCAGACTCGCACACACATACACTCACACTCACACTCTCAGACTCACACACACACACTCTCACACTCTCACACTCACACACACTCTAACAATCTCAGACTCACACACACACACTCACGCTCACACTCTGAGACTCACACAAACACACTCACTCTTACACTTTCAGACACACACACACACTCATGCTCACACTCTCAGACTCACACACACTGTCACTCTCAGACTCAAACACACCCTCAAATCTCACACTCTCAGACTCACACACACACTCACATCTCACACTCTCAGACTCACACACACATACACTCCCTCTCACACTCTCAGACTCACGCACACACACTCACTGTCAGACTCACGCACGCACACTCACGCTCACACTTTTAGACTCACACACTCACTCTCACACTCTCAGACTCACACACACTCTCAGACTCACACACACACACATTCACTCTCACACTCTCAGACTCACACACACACACTCACTCTCACTCTCAGACTCCCATACACTCACTCTCATACTCTCAGACTCACACACACATACACTCACCCTCACACTCTCAGACTCACACACACACACACACTCTCACACTCACACACACTCTAACAATCTCAGACTCACACACACACACTCACGCTCACACTCTGAGACTCACACAAACACACTCACTCTTACACTTTCAGACACACACACACACTCATGCTCACACTCTCAGACTCACACACACTGTCACTCTCAGACTCAAACACACACTCACATCTCACACTCTCAGACTCACACACACACTCACATCTCACACTCTCAGACTCACACTCACACACACACACTCTCACACTCTCAGACTCACTCTCACACTCTCAGACTCACACACACACTCAATGTCACACTCTCAGACTCACACACACATACACTCCCTCTCACACTCTCAGACTCGCACACACCCTCACACTTTCAGACTCACACACACACTCTCAGACTCACACACACATACACTCCCTCTCACACTCTCAGACTCACACACACATGCACTCACTGTCAGACTCACGCACACACACACTCAATCTCACACTTTTAGACTCACACACACTCTCACACACTCTCACACTCTCACACTCTCAAACTCACACACACTCACTCTCACACTCTCAGACTCGCACACACATAAACTCACCCTCACACTCTCAGACTCACACACACACACACACTCTCACACTCACACACACTCTAACAATCTCAGACTCACACACACACACTCACGCTCACAC